ATTAATGCTAATAAATATTTAACTTATTACATTTATACTCGTACTTAAAACAGATTAATTTTTTTTAAAACAAACTTTTGCAATAATTGCACACCACCTACTTTGAACACCACGAGCCGCCACTGCTCACCCGGCTAAGTATACAACAGACTTACCCGGCACATTATATAGGCTCACCCGGCACATTATATCAGACTCGCCAGGCTAAGTATACATTAAACTCACCCGGCACATTATATAGACTCACTCGGCTAAGTATATTAGACTCACCCGGCTAAGTATACAACAGACTCACCCGGCACATTATATAGACTCACCCGGCTAAGTATATTAGACTCACCCGGTACATTATATAGACTCACCGGCAAATTGTTCAGCCGTTGTATGGTAGTTCGTACCCTATTACTGTTATTGTTTTTCTGCTAATTGGCCATTGCTGAACGCACGCGGTACGCTGAGTGTGATATTTTTTATTCATTAAACCTTGTGAAAATTCGGGTATTTTACCTACCGAAAACCACCCACGACAAAAGRGGAACACTTCTGTCGTGACCTAGGAGCCGCACCGCGTGATGGCCTTTAGCTTGTTCAAGCCYTGATCGTTCATCGTCAAGTTTGTCTGTCAGCAGTTCAACCTCATCCACTCAAACCCCATTGCAGCTTACTAATTCAACTCCTAGAATATTGGAGTTGAGGAAACAGCTACGRCTAGCCAAGGACCATATAAAGACATTAGAGAACAGGCTCTATCTATTAAATCACTTAGACTCTGTAGAATCTTTTTTAAATCACTGTGAAAAATTTTTACCACCAAATTTAATTTTAATTATTAAATCACATTTAATGCAGAAAGAAAGAAAAAAGGGGGTTACAGATATGAACATGAATTTAAACAATTTGCATTAACTATTTATTTTTTGGGTCCAAAAGTTTATAATTTCATTAAAWCAACACTTTCTCTGCCAACAATCAGCACACTTAAACGTACAACTTCAAAATTTGAAATTCTACCAAGTCTAAATGATGTTTTATTCAATTTTATTAATTTTAAAATTAGAAATTATACCCCTGAAACATTACAATGCATACTTTGTGCAGATGAAATGTCTTTAAAAACTAACTTATATTATTTAATTAAAAAATATGAAATAATGGGGTTTAATGTAACTAATAATCGTAAAACTTATGAACCTGCAAAGTATGCACTTGTGTTAATGCTTAGTGGTATAAATGTAAATTGGAAGCAACCAATCGCATATTTTTTAGTGYCTAGTTCATGTACTGGTTATGACTTACAAGATATTATAATTTCAACAATAGTGAAAATTCAAAGTACTTCTTTAGATATCAAAGCTTTTATAACCGATATGGGTTCAAATTTTGTAGGTTTTAGTAATAATTTTCATGTTTCTCCATCTCGACCATATTTTGAAGTTAATAATAAAAAAATAGTTTACATTTTTGATCCACCTCATCTTCTGAAAGCTACAAGGAATATATTTTTCCAACATAAATTTAAATTAAATTAAGATTTAATAGAAAAAAAATATCTTGTGTCTTTTTATGATAAAGATAGTAATTGTAATTTATGTTTAGCTCCAAAATTAACATATCCACATATATATCCGAATGCATTTCAAAAGATGAGGGTTTACTTAGTTGCTCAAACTTTTAGTGCAACTGTTTCAGCAGGCATGGAAACCTATTTAGCATTAAATAAATTACCAGTTTCTTCAAAACAAACCATTAATTTATTTAAAGATATGGATAAATTGTTTGATATTTTTAATTCATACAAAAKACCTAATTTAAAGGATTTTAACAGACCATTCAAAAATACTCAATCTCAAAATTCACATTTATTATTCATGGAACAATTCTTTACAAACTTAAAAGTTTTTGATAAAAATAACCAAGATGTAACTAGTCGAATGAAATTTATTAAAGGCTGGTTAGTTTCTATTGCTGGTTTAAAGTTACTGTGGACAATATTAAAAGGTGAAAATCCTAGTCACAACTATGTTCTTTATACTAATAGAATAAACCAAGATAGAATTGAAAACCTTTTTGGCACAATTCGCAAACAAAATGGTAATAATATGAATCCCACTCCAGTCCAATTTTATTATGCTTTTAAAAAAATCTTCTAAATTTGTTTGTTAGATTCAGAATTTTTTCAACAATTAAATTTCTAAATAAGGATTTATTTTCAGAAAAATCATTAAAAAAAAAGAAAACTAGCTACTTTACAACATTTATAATTATTCATTGAATAAATTAAGTCATAAGTCATAACCAGCATAACTTCAATATTTTTACATAATTTCTGACACATGGTAACTTCTGACAGGCTAACAAAGGGCTACAGCAAAACACTGGTACAGGTAGCTGCCCACAGGCTACAACTTTCAAGTAGCTGCCACCAATGTGTTGGACTGTGGACCTGTTCTGGAGCTACAAGTAGCTGCCTGCAAACTACAATTTTCTAGTAGCTGTCCTTTTTTATTGACATCAAATATATTAAATAGTTCTTTTCAGGACTTAGTGTCGATTACTTTAAAATTTAAATAGTTCTTTTCAGTACTTAACGTAGATTATATAAAACAGTTCTTATCAGGACTTAGCATTGAACTTTGAATTAGTCCTTTTTAAGACTATTCGCTTTAATTTTATTAAACGGTTCTTTTGAGAACCAACAAACATCACAATTTACTGTTATTCTAATAATTATGCTCCAATATAAATTTACTAATATACATTACCCTTATTTTATGTTTATTTAATAATAAAGAAAATATTTTTTTATATATGGTTCTGTAAGATGCACGGTTTTTGATCTGTAAAACTTTGTATAATATTTCATGTTAAACCATGCCCGTTTTGTTAGCTATTCGAATTATATTTGGACGTAAAATTTAAAAATAAAAATCGGGCTTCTTACGGAATCTGATTTTAATTTTCTCTACCTATAATTTTTTTATTTATTTATCTTTTTAGTATTGAATTTGTGAAGAAYATTATAATAAATGAGCTAACACTCCTCTCACAGACCAAAATTTGTTTTTATTTTCAAAATAATGTATTTCCTCCTTGTCTTTGTGGTGTAACACAGTAAAATATTTTTAAATTGTGTAACAGAGTCACTATTTATTGAAGTGTAAATAATAATATCGAAAAAGAGAAAACAAATTTAGTATAATGAAATTATATGGAAAAAAAGTATTTTAAATATTTAAAAAAACACTTCTCAAAAAATGTTGGAGAAGTATTTGTGTGCTTAACATGATTATYTGTAAAAGTTTAAAAAAAAATAGAAGTAGGATTGATAAACATAAGCCSTAAGATTACAACAGACYAATCAATATATTGAATTAAAAGTACACATAATAATATGTATTAAATATTATTTGATGCAATAATTAAAAATTATGGTAAAAGTTGTTGTACATTAATTAATTTATCTTATGTGGTCCTACTGATTTGAGGTAGGTTCGTGTTATCAGTAAATCGAAGAAGTGCACCATCTGGTTTTATATAATCTGTGATAATATGTCATAGGTGTCACAAAACAGTTAGTTAAATTTGTTTGGTATTAGTTCCAATAACAATGAATGTTCTTGGTGGCTTACAAGTTATTTTGATACCACTACAGAACTCATTTGTTGTATGTACATACTCTATAATTAATACTGATAGATACACAACAAATGCAATTTAGTTAATATTGTTATTTAGATCTGTTATCTCTACAAAACAGACAATGGTATAGTAATTTTATTTCTGTTACAATAAATTACTAAATATTTAGTCGGTACAGTGCTCGAATTGTGGGGGGCTCTTCTTTTTTTATTTTTTTTTTACCATTACCCCTCAAATTGTTTTCCCAATTTCCTTTATAAACTATAACCTAAAGTGAAATTGGAACAATAATTACTTTCCACTTAATTGCATCACCATATTATCTTTACAATTTGAGCACTKATACTGTAAGCATAATGGTTATAATTAGGTGTAGAAATATTGAAACAAAATAACGACTGCAAATTGATTTTCTTATATTGTTTATTATACATAATATATTTTTAAACAAATTTGATGTTTTAGGT